CAGCTCGGCAGAGCCGGCCGATCACTGAGCTCACTCAGCGGCGACCCACCCGGACGAGCTTCGCATGATGGAGGACAAAAGTTAATTGTCCGAATTTCGGAAGCGGCCGGATATATCGGGCAATCAGCTAGGCCGGGAGATGGATGGGGTGCCTCCGCCAGTCTAATGGCAGCGAGAGAGCGCTGGCGGCGGTTGCAGGCATGCATCACCCTGCAATGACATATGCCGGCAGTTAGTGTGGCATTAGTCGGAGCTGGCTGGCGGCGACGGAAGGGGCGTCACACACCGGCAAACAGCGGATCAATCGAGCCGCCGTCCTGCACCGGCAAACAACCCTGCACAGCGACGGCCACAATGCAGCTGGAGGACCTGCTACGGTACTAAATGTGAGCCGTTAGTCAGTTAGCGATGTGCCGACTGCCGCTCGCCGTTTTCTTGTGATATTAATGGGGCATCGCTTAGCTAGAAAATAATACACTTTGTAGCGAATTGATGAGTGGAATAGTGCGTCGTTTGAGTTGCTACCTGTTGATCTAACAGGTAGATGGTATATCGATGTGTACGTAGGTATTTCAATACATGTAATGTTTGTTTGTCCGAAAATTGATGCAAAAAGACTTCAACGGACGAAAGGTGTATGAAATTAGCCTACTCATACTCCATACCTTAGCCCACGCTATCCCTGAGCTAATTTCATATCACTAAAAGCTATGATAATTCAATTAGGTAAGAAACGTATATAATCTGGAGATTATCATTGACTATCCTTGAAGTTATAACCCACTAGCAACAAAGTAAAGAGTTAAAAAATAAATAAAGAGTTAAGCGTGTTCACTCCGAATCCGTAATGGTCGTTACTCGAAATAAAAGCTGCCAACTGACCCGGAGGTGAATAAACTATATAAATATTTGCAATTAATACCACAATAATATTAACATAATTAGGGCATTGGCGAAGTTTATCATGAACCTACATAGTTATGTAATGAGAAGCATGCTTCAGTTGACCTATTACATGCTTCTCTTGGTACTAAATTATCGCAGATACTGGTTGTCCTACAATTTACTCGTTCGAGCTCGTCCTTTGCTTCGTATTGAAGAAGCATCCGAAAAACAAATATGAGTATTCATTTCAAGCTAATTACTGCCCTTAATTGTCATTTTTGTAAACATTTATGATAACAACTCACAATTCAAGAATCATTTAGGTAAAGTGATTTTGGAATGCGACCCTCTCGTACTCATGCCATGATGTGTTGAGAGAAAATATTGAAACTAAACGTTAGCAAAATTATGTAGCGTATTTGTGTTTGTATTGTGTAATTTTTAACGTGTTTGATTAATATTCGTTTCAATAATCTTCAATAACGTGTTTACATTGAAAGTGCATGAATATTCACAATGAAAGACTAAAAGCAGGATACAATGCCAACGTAGAGGCTTTTCCCTGTTTTTCGAAACAAAGGCACTAAGAAAGTCATATGCTTGAAACCAGTCCTCCAGCAATGTGGATGTTTCAGTTTTTATGTGTGGATATTCATTTGCTGTAAATACAGAAGCATTTATTCATGTGTGCGGTGCTGATTGCATGCCTACTCATATTAATATAATTATGAAAAGTATACGGATTTTGTCTAAATCTGCATTCTTACGCTTGTGAGCATAGGAAAGCACACGCATGCTGAGAAGTCACCGGAAAACAGCTGCCACTTGCGATCAATAGGTAACATAAGCCGAAAGCGCAAATCTACTTCATAAGTCTTACCTATCATCCTAGTGTATATCTAAGGGAAACTGTCTATATCCGCGTATGCGAACCACAGTCCACCAACAATTTCCAATAATTAAAAATGGAGGACACGTCGCCCCGTTCGTCGAAATGGCGGTTGTTGGCGGACCCCGCGACCGGGCTCCAGCAGACGACCGGCTGCAATCAAAGGTCACGTGACGGCCGCGCTCCAGCCGGGTGCCGTGTTCTCCACTGAGCTTAGGCCCTGTCGAGCCGCCCGGCGGCAATCAAAGGTCATGTGCCGACGGGCGCTGCCCGGTGTCGTGGGCCGTGCTTACATAAAGCGCTCAGAGTCGGTCGGAACGCCAAGCTACGCTCCGAGGTTTGTTGGAGATCACGTTGCACGGTAGTAGGCAACGGCCAACGAGCACTGGCACAGGCGTAAAGGACGGTGCAAAATAATTCGTGGATACTAACAGACCTTTGCCTACGACTGTTACCATGTGGGTACTTTTATAAATAAGGCTTATAACCAAATCAATCCATTTTGAAACCAGCTCTCGTCGGCCCGGGATATGGATTTTGCTCACACGAGAGGAAACATTCAATAAAGTCTGGTCCACTGCGGCGTGGGTGCCACGGATGACCGATCATATCGAGAACCGTCAGGCCAGTGTCGGATGGAATAAGTGGATGCAATTTCCACTGTGGTAATTGGATGAGACTGTACGGAATCGAGCTGTCAGGCCTGAGTCGCCACCAAGTGGCATCACCACCGGGTCAGCCCCGCTGCCAGAGGACAACTTCACCCGAAAAACTTTGCACCATCAGCTTTTGCTAAATGAGTGCTTGTCAACAGCTGCTCAGACGCTGTTATCAGCGTCTGCGGATATTTCCATATTCGTTTATGAATATTTAGCCTCTGAGCCTGCTTTTGTGCAGCAACCACGAACCACCGCACCTAAATATTTAGTCTTTTGTGAACTATTGTGATTTGAAACTGCATATTAGTCTTACAAAGACAAAATATGTAGGTATGTTTAGATAGCAACAATGCAATGTACAGTCAAGTTCAAAACGCCACTGAATCGGTACCTAGTACCTACACGTCGAATGACGAATAAAAGTAAACATTATCTGTGATAAGACACTCATTGGTAAAATTTGCGCTAAAATAAATTGTATTCCACTTTTATTTGTTATATTCACCGAAGTTCAATTTACTGTATAAACGAGGGATGGTGACTTAAAAAACGGCAAGTTGTTTCTTAACATTTGGTTCAATAAGTAATTATCTAAAGGGGAAAAATGTTGAGCAATATTGACCCTCGCCCGTATTGGTGTTTTTCCAGCCGCGAACGTATAAGGGGGGGTCCGTTGGACCCCCCCCTTGCCGTTTCGCCCCTGATCAAGCTAGAGCTCCGCGGAAAAAACGAGCGTGTTGCCCGTGACGAGAGGAAGCCGATGATACCCAATTTTAAGGTCCTAGGTCATTGGTTGACCTTGCAGGTCAGGTCAATGACCCCAAAGGCGGGAAAATCGGGACCTGTTAGAACGTCGTAAAGTGTGGCTGCTATGGGATTTTTCGGGGTGCTGATCACGAATATCATTTTAGTTTTGATCACAGATGATGTCTTCATGTATTTAGGCCAGGTCGGGTCAGGTCAAGTCAGGTCAACCAGTAAGGGTATTCGTGGTAGGTGGCAACCGCCTCTGACAGCTTCGTAACATGTTACGAAGGCACCAAAACTACTTCGTAAATGTTCATATGGTTGCTAAATTCGAATTCAGCTCCAACAACTGGCCTAGAAACATGTAAAACTCGAAAAAGTGAACCGAGGTCATCAAAGGTCAATGACCTGACCTGACCTTCAGGTGACCTTGACACCCACCCTAATGCATGGGGGCAACATCATATCACATGTTTGAACGCTTGAAACCACGAAAAGACTGCAAACGCGCGGCTAATGCGAGCCGACATACGCCGAATCGCGATTCCAGCCAAACATGGTCTCGAAAAGTAGGTCACAGGTCAAAGGTCATTTGGGTCAGGGTCATAAAATTTTCAGGGTAGGTGTGAAATTGATTAACGCTAGGGTACTGAAAGTTTCGTCGCGATCGCCCGCTTTTTACGCGAGTTATTCGCGAAAAACCATGGGGGTCCGTTCGACCCCCCCCCCCCCTATACGGGCGAGGGTTAAATAGGCTAAAAACTTATTTTTCTGACACTTCACCACGAACTGAAAGCAGCAACAGAATGTCGCCTGACCCTCCATCCCCACCCCAACCGCATGGATTGCTAGATTTCACGACGTTCATCTTGCATTTCATGACGTTTATTTTGCAATTCTCGACATTTATCTTACACACATTTGGTCGCAACTCACATTTGGCGCGATTTTGTCAGATTAGTTTTATAATTAGTTTTAACCTAGTCTTCATTTTAGGTTACATTAGTCGCTTTTATAGGTACCTGATTTATCAAAGTAGGTATTAGATATATTTTCAATGTTTTTTTAAATAAATTATTCTTTAATAAGATTTAGTTAGATTTGGTCAATTTTGGTGCACTTGCCAGATAACCTGTCTTGAAAACAGCTAATTTTCCTCATATCCTGGTGCTTCGGTATATGTCATTGCCCGGCGATGCACACTCGTTATGGCTCGTGCTTCCAGCTTCAAAAGCATACACGGCAGCATGAGATCCGGTTAGGCCGCACGGCTTTCGTTGCAGTCGACTTCGTGACAAACCCGAAACGGCATTCAGTTCACGTTGGCCAATCTAGCAGCAGATTGATATTCGCGAATCTGCTCTGGTGGAAGACATTCGTCGTTTCCCGAATATGCTGCTACTGGCATGAGAGGTAGAACCGCATGAAGTCGCAGCCTCATTTTGAACATTTTCAGCCCATATTGGGCTAAAAAATTACAAAATAAAGACAAGTCGGGGTTTTGGTCCTTGCCGTGGGGTGTCAGTTAAAATCCAATGTTGTTTTGCATATTTTGTCAACATTTGAACTAAATTTGGGCTGGAGGAGCTAGAATCAAGTATTGGTTTAGGGTAGGCTAGCTTTTATTTTATGTCAGTGGCAGCATATCTGGAAACAGACAGGGTTTGTCTACCAGCAGCAGATTTGCAAATATCAATCTGCTGCTAGATTGATCAACACATTCAGTTATGCCAGCGCTTTATTTGATAAGTCTGTCATCAGATTTAAATTACACACGTCTGTTGCATTTCCTGTGCAGTGTGTGAGGAGGATGAACTCACCTGGCGGGATCAGGGGTCGGACGGTGACGCTGGGCGACATCCTCCTCAGTGCCCGCCGGTCCCTCGCTCCGTCCTCCTCACTGTCCTGAGTAGCGCCGGCACTGTCGGTCCCTGACACCGCTCTCTGAGCTTTGGGTTCCTCGTGACCCGCGGCACCTAGGGTCACGTTACTTGGTCCCGTCACTGTCACCGCTTCTGCCACGGCAGAGCTGCCTTTGACAGGTTCTGACACGGTACTGCCGGTCATAAGTCCTGTAGGGGTCACAGCACCAGCACCGTCCTGTCGGAGGCCCGTCACTACCCCACAAACCACCACCACGCAGGCAGCCCACACGGGCGTCATCTCGATCACCACACCCGCTCACTGTCCCCCGCCGTCATCCGATCCCGACAGCCCCGGGGCGCGGCGAGCGTCCACCGTGCGGCCAGCCCGCTCACCGCCGCGGCGCCGACTGGGCCGACAATCAATGGGAGCGACCGCCGCCGGCGCAACATGCATGCACGCCTCCTGCGCCGACCGCCGCCGACCGCCAGCTCGAGGTCGGGTCGGTCGACCGGCAGAGGGCGGGGTCAGGACGGGAACGGTGCAGCGTTGTGGTGGTTTGACAGTATAGTGAAATGGGCGGCAGTTGCTGGGTAATGATGTGCTAATGAGACTGAGCGAGAGAGGTGACACTGGGGCTAAGAGGCGTGGTAATGCGATGTTCTCTTGTTTTGGGACAAGAACTGATATTGTGATATGAAGTCTTTTGAAATATCAAAGCCGAGTAGACAGAAACCACATCCATTAGATAAACATCCTGTTCGGAATTTAGCATGAAAACAGGTTGCAGGATTGAGACTGCTGTCGAGTTGGGTTCAGGCATGGATGAACTTTAATAGATAAACATCGACTTTGCTGCATCATCACATTGCAAAATACCAACCAGTGTCCAACACACCGGCATAAAACTTTATTTTTTGCATTTCTTTTTTCTAAAACATTTCCACCGTAGGCGTAGCTGCTGTATCCGGAACTTACTGCCCCCATCCAGTTCGTAGCTGAGTGACAGGTCCTGGCCAGCTCTCCCCGATCGCGAGTTTCCATCGTCACCAGTCCATGTCCGGGCGGCTCCAGCCTGCAAACACAAGCTACGGCCGATCAGCAACGGCGACGGTATCGTTCGCGCCGCGATCAGCGTCGCTAACGACGTCGTGCTGTCGCTAACGACGGCTGGACTCGCGGCGTCGGCAGCGACTCCCGACGATCGAGACAGACGCCTGACACAGACGGGCTGGGCGTCGATCCGGCCGCGGTCGGTAACGGCTGGTATGTTGTATGGGAGTAGAGCGGATACACGACGATTGGGAAATCTGCGATGGTTGCTGTTGACGGTAATAGGCCGTAAGCGCTCAGCATAAGTGTGGCATCTGCATTCGATACGCCCCAGATTGTCTGATGGACAGTCGTACTGGAAAACACGATACGCGGTGCAGTGATTTAGCAGAACAGGCAGTGACACAAGGGCACGGTGGTTGCTGTCTGTAAGGTGGAATCACGGATGGCACAAAAATTGTGTCAGTGTTTACATTAAAGACTCTTAAATAATGGAGCTGGAGTCAATAGATAATCAGTCACGCGGAGCGAAACCCGAAGCAAGCATTCTCAACCAGAATCAGGGTCATAAAATTAGAATCGTTCATATTCTAAAGTGACTTCACAACTGTGCTTCAAATTGTGATGATCTCTAAATAATGGTTCAGCGGAAACTGTCAAAGTCTTATTCCAAGACTATGCACTAAGATTATAATTTCTCGATTGGGACCCACAGTGAAGCGAAAATCAATCGTTCTGGGAAACCCAGACCGGATACGTCACTGCCCTCGCATTGCCAGCTGACCACTGATTCTCTTGTCGAGACTAGGCCAGTGAACTCCTCGTCCCATCCTTTGTCAAGGGTTTGACAGGCTGACGAATAAGCAGAATCTCCACTGTGCCTAGATATCACGGGATACCACTGACACGTCCAATGGTCGGCCGTGAATCACGCGGCCCCGACTCGGCCGGTCACGACCCAGTCGGCTCTCCGTCACGACCGGGTCGCGGAGGAACGCTGTATGGGATACCAAGGCGGGCGACACTGGGCAGTGATCCACTGCCGCTGTATTCTGCAGGGGCCACCCGGGATCGGGAAGGGGTTCATTTATTGGAGCTCAAAGAAGTACTACTTAAGTGACAAACACTCGTGGAAGAAGTTTAAGTTTTTTGCATCGCCATGAAACTGGGTAAAAGTAACAAACAAGTTTCAAATGGATTTAATTTTCGACTATTTCAAATACTGTTTTACCCATTTTTTCTTTCATCGAATTAAAAATAACATGTGTCTTTTAGACTTGGTGCAGGAAATTGACTGACTTCCTTCCAGCAGACTACAAAATGTTTTTTTTTTCGTAGCTTTCGTGGCAGCGATTTTCCCCTTATATTGGCGAGCAGGCTGGCTCCATGCTGATACGCTCCATAAGCCGCAAGACGTGCTGCACGTTGGTTATCGACGCACTGAGCGGCAATAAGTCACTGCCGCGCCGGCGGCGCTCGTGACGCGTGTTAAACCTCCTCGGCGAACGCGCTGCTGACGCCAACAGCAGAACCCAGCGCTAGATTGCCTTTCAGGCCGACTATTTTTGTTTGTGGCAGACAACGGACGGAGTTCGGGCGGCGGTGGCTGTGCCGGTGGCGGTGGGGATGTGATGCTAGCGGGGCGGTAGGAGGGATGATGGCGGCCAGCGCTGCGTGAAATGACTGTCGCCTTGTCCATCCGGGCCGAGGCGTAGCGGCGGCCGAGCCAGCTGACTTTACAGCCAATGTCGCGTCGAAGCTGCTCCCCGGCGGAATTTCAGAGGATCACGCCAATCGAGGAACAACTTTGCAGGAGTTTAGCAAAGCCTATTGTTGTTGTTGATGGGACGAGAATGTGTGCGGAGAAAGCGGTAAAAGAGGGAGAAGGAAGGGAGATGGGAGGGTGAAATGAAATGAGATGGAGAGTTTAGTGGAGGAAATTAATGAAGGGGAAAGGAAAGAGTGGCGAGGAATGGAGAAGAGAGGAGAAGATGAAAGTGGAGCAGAGAAAATCAGAAAAGAGGAAAGCGCGGAACATGTCCTCTGGCTGCATTACGGAGGGGTCGGATGCACAAAGAAACGGATACGTACATTGTATCACCCAGCGCACTTAACCACAGCTCGACACATAACTCCTCAATCTCATATCTCCCACGCCTCTTCTCGATCAAATATCATTTGGCTCGTGCACTTCTTTGTTTTCCTCTCCCTTCTTCATCGACACAGCGTCCTTCCCCTCTCCCTTTCTCATCGCAACTGGACTCCGACCGGATCCTCTCAGCCAAGGGGAGTTGAAATACGAGCCGCGGAACGGAACAGGACGACATGTATATGTTGTACCCGAGCGAGGGAGCGAGGCGGAGTGGCGTCGGCGATGGACACTACGCGAGAGTAGCAGGAAGTAGCGCCTGGCCGAGCGGCTGCAGGCGTGAGTCCGTTTTTATGACAGGGCTGTTTCGGATGTAATGAGCTGTCCACACGCGTCACTGGCCGTCCAGAGAAGGTCTGTGATGTGCCGGCATGAAAGCGTTGGAGAGGGAAGGGATGACTTGTTCTTGTTCAGTTCAACTTAAGTCCGATGCAATGGTGCTTGATATTATTCTATTAACCCGCGACCTGGTGGGGAGGGGCTATTTTTTGCCCCCCCCCCCCTCCAGACTTTTCGATATATCTCCAGAACCGCTGCGCTGATCGTCACCAAACTTTCAGTACCCTCCCGGACATCAATTTTACACATTGTGACCAAAAAATTTTCCAAAGGCTATGATAGGTTGGCCGAAATGACGTCAGAGTGACGTCATGTTCTGCCGTTTTCGACCCAAAAAAGGGTTTCGCGGGAAGAGCTGTCAGGCCTATAGCTTTGCAAATACAGAAAAATGATAAAGACATAAAAGCTGTAGAATGGACAGGGATACAAAACTGCTATCTCGGATTTTTGAATTTTTTTTATTTTGACCCAAAAATCAAAAAATATTTTTTTTCGATATGATAATCGAAAAATCCAAAAACTTTTTTGAATTTCGCAAAAACCGGAATATATGTGATAGTCCTTACCGCCTTCCATCCACATACCAAATTTGAGATTGATACCTCTTTTTTTTGGCGAAGTTATAGCGAAAAAAACTGTTCAAAATTGATGACGTCAAATTTTCAAACTCAATTTTTAGCAAATCTTGACCCCGTAGCGCAAAACAAAGACCACCATTAGACTCCCCGTGACGAGCTGCATCGAATCAATACCCATTTTATGCAAAACTATCAACTTTAAAATTTGACCTTTTTTGGCCTGACCATGACCTGACCTTGACCTGCACTTCACCAGAAAGTGAGCTAAGCCGTACCTGATAGTCTTATAACCAACACCATTGAGTTGGAAATGAAAAATTGGCCATAAAACATGCATCACACAAACTTAGTAAAGTTTGGCTCATGTGACCTGACCCGTGACCCTTGGTGACCTGACCTGTGACCTGAACTGGTATTCTCAGTGACCTCTAATAGCAACATATCTACTAGGCAACTGACGCCCTATCGCTGATTCTCGACAAAATGCGTTTTCCTCGGTGTTATAGCGCATTCCCTAGAAGACCCGTGAACGGTGAAACATTTCATCTTTGACCTGACCTGTGACGTCATCGGTGACCCTGAGGTCAATGAAATTTGGTTGCCCTGGACAAATTTGACAGGCCTTTCGAACGGCGTTTGAATTTTGTGGATCCGTCCAGTAGTTTCGGAGATACGAGGGGGGCAAAAATAGCCCCCCCCCCCCACCACCACCAGGTCGCGTTATAAACAGACCCCACCAGGGCGCGGGTTAATATGAAATAGAGGGCCGTAGAAAGTTGGACACAATTAATATGAGATAGAGGGTCGTAGAAAGCTGGACACATAAAAATATACATCCCCTTCACCATTCTATACCTAATGTGCACTCGCCATCATTCACGAAAGACCAAAGATCATTTTCTAGTTTTCATTTGGCTTTTGAGGTCGCTAGTGGGACTCAGACGAATGAATAGGTGTGTTGGAAAGATTTACAACCATGCACTCGAAAAAGAACGAGTAACGTGCGATTTCAAGAAAACGCATTCCGACAGTGGCCGTGAAAAGCGAAAAAATGTAATGTATAAAAACGGAAATAAATGTAGGGAGAAAATGATATCTTGTCGGGCATCCTACTGCACCCCATTGTTTAGCGTAATTTCTTTTGTGGTCACGCAGCTCATACGATAAAGCCAGCATACCATAATTAAATGATACGTACACTGAACGTTAGAAGCCATCGAATGTACCCACTATTCTGAAAATTCCCAAAGTACCAGCGCATGACGCATTGCTGATTCTATCAGAAAATAGCC